CTCCAAAGCCGCGCGTCCGCGGGGTCCGCGGATTCGACCGCGGATGGCCGCCGCCGAGGGGGATTCATAGGGCATCGTTGTACAAGATTTTGATCCATTTCCTAAAGCTAGGTCCCACCCCCATTCGCTCCATACTTGCATCCATGAAGGACCAATTGACTTGGTCATAAGAAGAAAGTATGGCTGTGTTTATCCTCCTTTCTCTGACTTTGTTTGCTGCTTCATTTAGGGTCAATTCATTATCCAATATGTAACGCCAAGGGATGAATCCCGTCTGGTCAATGTGGAAGCATTTATCTGTTAAGTTTGTGATTCTGGCGGCAAGGGTTTTGGCTAGGATTTTATAGGGGAGTGCTCATAATGAGATTGGTTTGTAGTTCCTAATGTCCTCTTTGTCTCCCTTTTTGTACAACAGTGTGACGACACTGCTACTCAAGAAAGTGCCCAAACCCCCTTTGTCATAGCTGTCCTTGTAGAAGTTCATTAAGTCCCCCCCTAAGAGTGGCCAGAATTTCTCCCAGAATTCCTTTGTTAACCCGTCAATCCCCGGTGACTTGTCATTGTTCATGCTCTTGAGGGCTTGAAAAAGTTCATCCAATGTTAAAGGCTTATCTAAGGCTTTCGCTTGCTCTGTTGATATCGTTTGTTCCAGATACTGCAACATTCTTTTTCTTGCTTCTTTTATGCCATGTGGAGTAGGTGTTTGGGTTTTGGTCTGGTACAAATCTTGGTGATAGTCTTTTTCTATTCCCAGCACCCCCTCGCTAGTAGCTGCTGTCACTTCCGGATCGCTAAGAGTTTTCAGTTTTTTTATAGTGGTCACTCTCGAGTTGGCTTTGATGTGGGTGAAGAAGTGTTTCGACATTGATTTACTAAGTTCATATTCATTCATTCTGGCTCTTATTTGCAAGCCTTTTAAATCCCACCACCTCCACGATTCTTCGGGCTTCGTCGTTATTAATACCAGTTTCCCTCCCGTCCATCTCCTCCTTCCATATCACCAGCTCACAGTGGTACTGTGGAATTCCATAGCTCGCTATTGGCCCCGCGCATCGTGCGAAGAATGTCAGCAGTACCAGGCGTATCGTGCTTCAGGATTCATCTGACGAACTCGAACCGAAGCCTAGCGATGATTACACAGCTTCCGATTAGGGCCAGCCTCATCGGATTCCGAAGCCTGTTACGAGCGGTGTCGACAACTGTTCGAACAGCGCAACAGCCATAGTGTCCCACCGGTCCACCAGATAAGGGACCGACCGCGGCGACGCAACTGGCAGAGACGATAGTCCCATCCCCGAAGGATGAAACGCCAGATACGATCTTCCCGTACCATCTTGCACCATTATGCCTAAACTTGCCACCGAAGATCTCAATTCTGACCTGGGATTCCATCCCTAGTTTCCTAAAATCCTTGGCACACCCCCTTTTCGCACTTTCGGACCTCCATCCCACTCCGATCAGGAAATCGCGTTGGGCGTGAAGTTGATATCGGAGCCAATGCGTAGCAGGTTTACGGATTAATACAAAAGGTGATTATACCGGACGATCTGGCGAACAGAGGACGACCGAGGCAGCGGAACGCTCCGCGCCACGATCGTATAGTAACACGAAGTAGGTCCGTTGGGCAGCAGACAACCAATATGAATGCGAATCAGAACCATAATTTGAATCCTGGTCCAGTTCCGGCCCCGCGAGCTCGTGCGCCCATGGCACATCATTTGGCTGGGGCATGGCTAGCCACGCTACGCGAGCAACAATACGATAACGATGAAGCTCGAATTAACATCCCCGCTAGATTGGGAGGGGACGCGCATCCTTGGTTCAACACTTACGTTTGGGTAGATGTCCCAACTTTTGAACGAGATTTCCTTAATCGATTTGACTACATTCATCCAGAACAAGCCTTGTTCATGATTAAAGATTGAGTGCAAAAGCCACTCGAATCTGTCACGGAATATGGAAACCGATTTTATAGGATGTTTGTCAAAACCGAATGAGGAGAGTAAGTAGGGAGGGATTTATTCATCGATGGGCTCCGCAGCAGTACCATAAGGGCGAAATTGTAAAAGCAATTTTCCCCGATCAATCATACCCTGCAGCAGATTATGTTTGCAGCAGAAGAAATGGAGCGGAAATTCGCCGCCAGTTTCCTAGAGGGGGAAGATTATCCTAGAGAAGGAGACTCCTCAGAATTGGCTAGAGCAAGGGCAGAGCTAGCCGCGCTTTTAAATCAATTCGAAAACATGGGTTTTGTCTCTGGTCCCCTCACCTATTTAGAGCACATCGTAACCAAAAGACCCGGAGCAGATGCAACCACGGGATCGCCCATACCAGCGATGGCCGCTCCTTTACCTGTCGCGCCCATTGCTGCACCCCCTCCAGATACGATGAGTAAAGTCAGTGAGCCAAACGCGATATTAGAGTTGATCCGGACTTTAGTCAGCCTAATACAAGAAAGCAAGAAGGAGCAACGGGAATACAACGCCTGGATGGAATCCCTGATGCGATTGATGCGCCCCATTGTTGTTAGAGCTGCCCCAGTGACGCAAGGCATTGCCCGTGCTCAACCAGTGGGAGGAATGGCCGCCAATCTGAGTGTTTGCTACACATGTCATCAGCCGGGCCACAATGCCCGGGACTGTCCGCACCGACCTGTGCAAGCTCGAGTCGAGGTTGCCCCTGCGGCTGCTGCGCCAGTGCCCAACGGTCCAGGAAGGGTAGGTACGATGCTTGAAGAGATAGAACTTCATAGAAGGAGGGGGAAGCACGATAGCCACTACCGAGGAAGCAACAGAACTTATCCCGCTTGATCAATATATCGCCTTAGGATATCCGGGGTTAGGAATGATCAGAACCATCCGACCGGCAAACGTGCGAAAAGAAGTAGCCAAATAGAGACCTTCCCCAAGTGAAATGGAGTCAGGCGGTCCTACCTTCGTCACGGGAGAAATCGACGTTTTGAACATTGTTCGGGCCTTAGACCACCGGATTCCATTGCCGATTGACCATTTGCTGTCTATATCAAAACAAACCAATGAATGCATGTTGCAACATTGCAAGGCGAACAGAAAACGGTTCGCTCTTAGTAAACTGACAACGACGAAAGGGAAAGCCCCAACTCCTGATGACAAACCCGAAAATCCCGGCACGTCAGACCCAATACGGTTGGGACTAATCCAGAAGGATAATCATTTCCTACGTATCAAAGCCATTCCGTGGAAATCTGCGGAATGTGACATCGAAGTATGGGGAGTTCCGTACAATGATGTCATCGATTCAGGAGCAGTTGTTCTGGCTATATCACTGAAGGTAGTGGAAAAGGCAGGACGACGGAAAGATCTGATCATGCTAACCGAAAAAGACCATCTCATTTCTGCGAATGAAGAAAAGATAAAACAGTAGGCAGAATGACGAATGTCGCCTTTCAATTAGGAAAGGTTTATGCTTTAGGGGATGTGGTGGTATTGGATGTCAATACCTATGATGTACTTCTGAGATTACTGGCGCTCGTCGCGCTACACGCCAATCTGGATTTCGAATGACGATCGATAATCCTACGAAGTACAGGCGCATATGTTATTCCAATGCGTCTAACTCTGCGAACCATGATGCCCGCGACTCCGAAAGTTCCTCCGACACCTGCAGTCGCTCTCCGAGTAATCACCTGGAAACAACCAACTCAGAAAATCGAGCAGGAGGACGAGGAACATGATTCCTCAAGCGAGTCCGACAGCGAAAATGAAGCTGATCTCGATATGACTCAACAACTAATTTGCTATCCAATCCGACAAAAGACTTCCAAAACATTTGTCCTTACGGAAAGAAACGTGCAACGAACTCGGGCTTTAATTTTTGGAGAACCCCTGCAACAAGTATCCCGGATGATTGACTCTTTGGAGCCCCTCGAACCTTGTACAAAGCCACGACCAGAAGAAGGCGTTCTGCGACATTACATGGTTGCCTCGTTCCTTGCGGTCGTCCGATAAGGAGGTGCGATTATTACGCTTGGGGGCCGAAAGCGAAGCTTTGGAACCCTCTGAGCGTGACGACCCTACAATCTATGAGCTCGGGATCAAGATCACCAAAAATCCGGTTCCATGGCTAGACATCAGCGACGGCGTGACCCCGGAAGAACACGTGGCCATCCGAGAAGAAGACGCTCAGATAGTCGCCACCGTGTTCTCTTGGCGGTCGGATAGTTCCTTCATTTCTGCTCCCCCTGCCGAGAGCAACCACAGAGTGAACACGAAACACGTGGCGGTTACCATACACGGAAGACTGTACGAACTGCATGTACCTTAGTATGTACCTAACGAAACCCATCGACTGATTGCGGATATTTTGACTGAATATCAAGATGCGATTAGCGTAACGGATACATATATTGGATTATCGTTAGTTATTCAGCACGAGATTCAGACCGGAACACATCCCCCGATCCACTGTAAACAATACCGATATTATCTCGCGGAGAGAAAAGTTGCGTTACAAAGAATCAGGGAGTTTGAGGCTAACGGATGGATCGAACCAACAACAGGACCTTGGTCATTTCTCGTGGTCTTAGTCCTGAAAAAGAGTGGGTCGATTCGCATTTGCATTGGTTACCGAAAATTGAATGACATCACGATCAAGGATGTGTATCCCCTTCCCCGGATTGATGATCTGTTGGATGCGATTGGGTGTGCGGATTTTTTTAGTAAGTTTGATATTCGCCATGGATTTCATCACATCTTGGTTAAAGAGGACGATCGGCCAAAGATGGCCTTTGTGCTGTCTGAGGGCACCTGAAAGTGGATTCGTTGTCTGATGGGAATCTGCAATGCACCAGCCACATTCCAAAGAGTGATGAATGTAACCTTTCATAATTTTGTTAACAAGACCCGACTGACGCAGGGGATGATCAATTTTTGCGGTATTGTGTACATGGATGATATTTTGGTATATTTGGAATCATTTCACGGGCATGCCCAACATATTGAATGGAAGTTGGGAGCGCTGCGGGACACTGCGTTCAAGATTGCACTAGAAAAGGGCGAGTTTTTCCTCTCGGAAATCTCATTCTTGGGTTACGTAGTGACGCGAGGCGGTTTAAGGTCAGATTCGAGAAAGGTAGCGGCTGTCTGAGAAGCCCCCACGCCCACGTCACTGATACAGGTTCGGGCCTTTTTGGGACTGGCGTCGCACTACCGCAGATTTATCAAGGGTTTCGCGGAGATCGCACGACCTCTAACGAATCTCCTGCGCAAGGACCAGCCCCTACGGTGGGACACTGAGTGCGAGCGGGCCTTTGTCACTTTAAAGGAGGCTCTAGTCACTGCGCCTATTTTGATCCGGCCGGACCCGCAAAAGCAGTTCATGCTCATTATGGACTGTCAGCCTGAAGCGATCTCCGCTATTCTAACCCAAAAGGGGAAAGACGGGCGTGAACACGTCATCAAGTACGCTTCTCGGACAGTGCCTAACGGAAGGAGAAACAATTCAGCTCCTCAGGGAGAGTGTTACGCAGTGGTTTGGGGAATTCAGCATTTCCATCCGTATCTCTACGAACAGAAGTTCCTCCTTGTCACGGATCACGAGCCCTTGCTGGCCTTCAAGAGGCTCACCAATTACACGGGTATGATTGGACGTTGGGCTGTACGGTTGCAAGAGTATGACTTCGACATTGTCCATTGAAAGACAGAGAAGCACGGGAACGCTGACGGCTTGACACGTCTGCATCGACCCGACAAGGTGACTAAAGGCGAGGAGATCGCCCCGTGGAAGGAACCACAACCAACCAACGAGCACTCGTACGGACAGGTGGCCATCCTTCCTCAAACTCCTAAGGGGTGATTGACACGATGGCAATGGGGCGCAGAGGTAATTCTGAAGGTCCCCTTTCTCCTCTCTCATCCTCCTCCTTTCCCTCCCTACCTGACAAATTTTGCTATTTTTGCGAGGCAAGAGTTTACTCGATCCCTATGTGACCAACCGGGGAGGGCTATGTTGAGTGGGTAGATTATCAGCGATGTGTTTTCTGAGCCCATGGTTCCTGAATATAGTACCGGAACGCGGACAAACCTTGGTTGTGTCCTCTACGTCGCACTGAGAAAATCCCAACGGAGGCTCGATTTCTCGAAGCCACGTGCGAAGGACTAGAAAAGACCCGACAGTTTAGAAGGGTTGAAGTGTGGACAAATGTTGTTTTGATAGCTATGGTGGTCGGGAACCCCCTCCGAGATTTCACAAGGGAGGATCGGAGACGGGCTAATGAGAGAGCTCGGGATTACCGATGGAATGAGGGACGGTTAGAAAAACGAAAAACGAACGGGAGCAGGATTTGGATGTCTGTCCCGCATCCATTCGTGAAGTATGACTGGGTTAAGTCAGTCCACGAGAAAACCGCCGCCCACTTTGCCGTCAGAATCACGGAGTCTGCGATAGACAAAAACGAGTGGTATTGGTCTACTATTTGAGACGATGTCAAGTTCATCGTCCGAAACTGCGCAGTCTGCGCCGCTGACAAGGCGCCTATTCAGCCGCCTAGGTCGATGGTGCCGACTATGGTCGAACGACCGTTCCAAAGGGTCAGCATGGATACGACCGATATTGTCATACCCCCGGACCTAATAGCTGCGAATATTCAATTCTACTGGTATTCGTAGACCATTCTCCAAATGGATCGAGGCCAATCCCTGCAAGACGTGACAGGTGACCGAAATCGTGCGATACGTCAACCGTTTTCTCGGGATGCACCAAGACACAGAGGAGATCCTAATGGACAATGGGGCAGAATTTAGCGGGGAAGTCTTGAGGAATCTAGTCTTACACGGTGTCTCTATCCGCAATACTGCACCCCACATGTCGCAATCTAACGGACTGATGGAGAACGCCAATTGAGTGATTAAGACCGCTTTGCGAAGCAATATCCTGACAAATGATATGAGGCTATGGCCCGATATCGTGGACCATATCCTGGCTATCCACAGCGGGACGCCCCACGAATCCACGGGTCTGACCCCCTTCCAACTACGGACCAATAACCTACCCTGTGTAGCCCTACTGAGCCGAAATGATGAAACAGCCCTTCCGCGACGGACCACTAGGGCGACGGTTAAGGATAAGGCCCAACGCCACCTAGAACTGATGGAAAAGGTCCTTCCCCGATTGGCCCGAAAAAGGCAACAAATGACGAAAATGACCCATGGGAGACAGGTCAGGAGTTACGAGGCCCGGAATGGGAACGCTGGGTCTCGGCCCCAATATAAATTAGGGGACATCGTGCAGGTGAGGAAATGTGGTCGCCAGGGCAAGCTAGCGCCACGATTCTTCGGGCGATTTCGCGTGGTCGAGCTCGGTCCCAGCAGGGTGAACACAGTGCGGCTTGCGCCAGAGGTGTCGGGAAGTCGATCGGCTAGTCCGATGATTCGACATGTGTCCTACCTTTGTCCTCTCCCCTCTTCCCCTTCTCCTCCATCATCTGCATCGTCCCTCGGTCAGGAAGAAGACGATGACTATCTAGAATCCTCTTCTCTCTCTCAACCATCGTCTTCGACTCCGCCTCCATCGCCATGAGTTTTTCGACGGAGCAGGTGATCAACGAGCGTCTGATGACCTCGAGGGGGCGTATAGCGACAATCCGACAGGTGCAGCAACCTCGGTTGAGTACCGATCTCCTTCGATTCGCATCCTTCTTCAGCACAGCAGCCATCCATGCAGCAGCAGAGTTCAACTTTGTACATGCAGGGGCGACGCGTGTACTGGCCGAGATTTCGGCCTTCCAACGCCTGTCCTCGCCCGACATTAGCCACATATCCATCATCGTCACTTTCACGGGTGAAATCACGGCGGTACACTCGGCGATTCATGCGGACATCTATCAGCAGTGGCGGGGTTGGGCCGAGGAAATCACGGCTACGTGGATCGAGTTGCTGGCTCGGTCGGGGGAAAGGATCGTAACCTCGAACGACATAGATCTCCGACTCCGCACCTCCAGCAGCGCGCCGGAGATCCTTTTCCCAGAGCTCCTTCCCTTTGCACAGCCCCAATGAACCGTCATCCCTCTTCAGCCTTCCGTCTGATCTCCCCACCTTCTGGCAGTCTGCTATCGATCCCGCCCTCTCTTTCCGGATCCGAGAGCTTAGTGTACCGATCTTGGACGAAGACAAGTGAAACGGGTGGTGGGACGCTTACGTGGAACTCGACATCTGTTTGGTGGACGTGGTGGCTCATTGGGCAGATCCAGCCCCATATGCTAAAGGGGGTGAGGTCCAGGATGACGAGGTGGAACTATTGATTGCACAGGCTTGGCAGACGGATACGGAGGGAGAATTGCTGGGGATATTATTCGGCAAGGTGGAAGAAGGCCATCTCGAAGCAATCACGGACGAGTTGTTGGTGTTTTTGGCGCAGTTGGTGGACGATTTACCCCTCGACATCCTGTCGAGGTGTGACGAGAAGTCGGGGACAGACGTGCTCACTCGCACGCTTGCACCGCATATGTTGTGGTCCGCGTGTACGGAGCTGGATGGGAATAACTGCTTCTACCCATCCCCGAGCCTCTATCTCGAAATCGATGTCACCGATCTCACACTGTGGGACCCTTTTATCCGGCGAGGAAATGCACAAGGAGCCGGTGACGAAGACGAAGAAGAAGAAGAGGAGGAAGACGAGGAAGAGGAGGAAGAGGAGGAAGAGTCGGGCACTGATCGGGACGATCCTGATTAAATCAGGTCAGAGGAAGAAGAAGAGGTGATGGAAGAAGGAAGTGGATCAGGAGAGTCGAGTGGTCGTCCCAAGCAAAGCGAAGAGGAAAAAGAAGCCCAAGCTCAGAGGAGGCAGGAAAAAGCGGAGGGCAAGCGGTCAGTCGAAGAATCCGAAAGGCCGCTACCATAGTTACTACTAGGCGATCCATCGCTAGATCCAGAGCCGCCGCACGAAGAGTCCGAAGGAAATGGAGCCGCGACAAAGGGATCAGGAAGCCGACGCCGCCGAAGGAGCGAATCATCGGCTCCGTCTTCTCCGCCATCCCGAGCCACTCTTCGCCTTCGTCGAAATGCGGGCGATCGGGCTTCGTCCCCGGTCGTTATCCCGTCGTCCCCGTGACTTCCTCACTCCTCACCAACTCCTGGGTCGACCCCCTCTCCCTGATGGCTGGTGCCCTTTCCCGCCCTCTCTCTTCCACCAATTTTACGACACCCGCCTTCTCGTCACCGTCGTCCCGCATCCTACCACCCGCTCCTTCGTCGCCTCCTTCCCTCTCCATGTCCTTCTTTTCAGTGTGACCTGGCGGGAATTTAATAATATAGAAGTCTATTGCATTATTTAGGGCACAATCCCCGTCTGCGAGAATTATGAGAGTTTCCTCTCTGCCATCCCTCGCATCCTCTTCATCCTCTACCTCGACTATCTCGCCTCTCTCCCTCATCAACGGAAACACCCCAGATTCCCTAGTATCCACTGCACCATCCACTACACCCGGATCCCCACCAGGGATAGAGAAATTCGCCGCTTCATACCTCCCCTCCCCCAAGTCCATCCACCACCTCCTCCGCCCGTCATCAGATTGCCCTTCCCTGGAAACGTTTAGGATAGAGCCCGCGAATGCCACATTGAATGACTTCCACACTCTTATCTTATGGTAAGTGGCACGTGTGAGCTCCACGCCGATCCTCGGGTTACAGACCGACGCATGAGTAAGTGAGCACGCGGGAGCTTGCCCAAGATTGGAACCCCCTGGGCGTCACATATGTGACAAACCATTTTCTGTAATCGCGCGACTTTCTGCGTGAAGCTGCCTTGGGGAAACGGGACGGGTCGGATGGGTGAGCTGTGGGGAGATGGGTCGGTCGGGCAAGTTGCATGGATACCCTCGTTTCTTTTTGTTTTTTTGTGGGAATCTATCGGGTCGGTGTCGGGAAAGTCCCGCGCCAACGATTGGGTAACCGCGCCTCAGCGAGCGCGATGGACAGCGGTTGCCATGGCTTCTTTCTTGTTCTGCTGTGAGCACTAGGAATTTTTGGCGCGATCATTGCGCGGGAATATCATTTTTTTTTTTTTCTTCAACTGATGTCAAGCCCCCACGGGCTCGCGGAATTGTTTTGGGGCTTTTCGGAATTAGGACTTAGACTAGGAATTTAGGTACTCTGAATTTTGTTGCGCCGCGCTTCTCACTTGCGCACATCTTGCTGCGCTAGGAACTGGGCTCTGACTGGATCGCGCCCTTAATCTTGTGTAACTTTCGCTTTTGGCGGGCGCGATTGTAACTGTATCTTTCTTCTTTCTTGATTTCCCAGCCTTCTTCTTCTTTGTTTTGCATGCTTAATACTCTGTTTCAATTGGCCTGAACGCGTGTACGACCGGATCGATGCGTGGAGTGCGGCTACAACCCCCACGTCGCGGCCTGGCCATGCAGACGTAGGCACTTCCTCTCTTCTCCTCCTGACCACTTGAGCTTAATCTCGTATCGCAAGCATGCATGCTATAAATTTTGCAAGCGCGGTTAGTTTGCTCTCTATGAACTTTGGAGTCAGCGCGATCATTGAGGGTTGGGTAATGAGTCAGCTTGAGAGGTGAGTTGATGAGAGAGTTGGGCGATCCGACGAGCTGGTGTTGGGTATGTGGGGTTGACGTGCCGGCCGCGACGGAGTGTGGCGCACGAGCGAACCTGGCTTGCATGCTCAAACCAAGCGGGGTGACCACTCTATGTTGATGCGCAGTGACGGACTGCCCGCATCGGGGAATGTAGATAGATAGATAGATAGATAGATAGATAGATAGATAGATAGATAGAGAGAGAGAGAGAGCAGCTACGTGTGGGATGAGGTCTCTTCTTCCAATTACCTGTATAATTTTGATTTATACTTTGTCCGATCTTGTTGCGGCACTCTCAGACTTTCCTTGTAAATCATTTCGGGTTTTCTTTGTCGTTTTGTTCTCGTGTGTATGCATGGAATAGATGCGAACCCTTTTCGAGTGATCTTTTCGGATTTTTAATCTTGTTCTGTGATGCCTGCTTAATTCAAATTTCGTCACTTTTTCTAGTATCCATCTTCGTTATGCAATAATCCCGGGTCTGATTGAAAACACTCGCTACGGATGTTTGGGTTTAATCGTTAGCCTTTGATCGTCATCAAATCCCCGAGAATGCTGTGATGTGTGGGCCCTCGATGCCAGGGCAATTGCCCCCCCCCCCCTTCTCTTTCCCTTCGTCACATGAATGGCATGGATGTGAATGTAATGACTGTATCTCACCCGAAATAGTATGGGTAGGATAGTTGCATGTAGGAAGGACACAATCGATACACCGACACGAGAAACCCAAGTCTGATCCACTTTCGCTCATGTGCACGCTCGCGTACGACCGCGATCTCGAGAAAACCGAGCCGCAGCGTACGCGCATGTGTGCATGAGTCGACCTCGATCCTGACTCATTATAAGGGATGTGGGAGACCGAGTTCAGTAGTCGGATATGGCGGCAAAAACTCCCTTTTGGATCACCAATCGTGAGAGCCTGAGGGACCCGGAGTATCGCAAATGCTGGGAGGGTGAACATCTTAGACGGCGGGGAAACTTGAGAAACCCGGAATTCCCCTATCTGACGAAGAACGACCGACTCTGCATGGGGGATTTTCACTGGACCATAACTAGCGATCCTAGGGGCCCACACTATCTGAATACTAACAACACTCAATATTACATATCTCTGGGCTTCGTCGTTATTAATACTAGTTTCCCTCCCTTCCATCTCCTCCTTCCATATCACCAGCTCACAGTGGTACCGTGGAATTCCATAGCTCGCTATTGGGCCCGCACATTGTGCAAAGAGTGCCAGCAGTACCAGGCGTATCGGGCTTCAGGACTTATCTGACAAACCCGAACCGAAGCCGAGCGGCGATTACACAGCTTCCGCTTAAGGCCAGCCTCGTCGGATTCCGAAGCATGTTACGAGCGGCGCCGACAACTGTTCGAACAACGTGACAACCATAGTGTCCCACTGGTCCACCAGATAAGGGACCGGTCGCGGTGACGTAACTGGTAGAGAGTCTAGAGACGATAGTCCCATCCCTGAAGGATGAAACGCCAAATACGATCTTCGCCTACCATCTTGCACCATTGTGCCTAAACTTGCCACCGGAGATCTCAGTTCCGACCTGGGACTCCATTCCCAGTTTCCTAAAATCCTTGGACCACCCCCTTTTTGCATTTTCGGACCCCCATCCCACTCCGATCAGGAAGTCGCACTGGGCGTGAGGTTCGGACGTCACAGTATTGATAGGATAGAGTTATTTAGGGCTAAGGCTCTTCCGAGAAGTGAGGTGTGGATTCCTTGCCAGTTGTGCATTCTGTTGATTAGAGACAACATCAGGGATGCAGCCGACTTGGGGTGACACCCTTTTGTGCAGAGGTTTATGCCTAGGAAGCAGATTGATGTGGTTGGGTCCATCCACTGTAACCCTTCTGGGGATAGTTCTATGGGGGGGGGCGAGTCTGTTAGCTACCATCCGACTGTCTTTGCCTAGTTCACTTTCATTTCTGATGCTAATTGAAAGGTTTGCATAGCTCTTGTGAGAGCTTAAAAAGACGAAGGGAAAAAAAAAAAAAAAAAAAAAAAATTCCTGAATGATTATACAATCATCCTTTGAAATCGGATTTTAATCTTGGGTAATGGTAATGCTACCAATCATCTGCTACATACAACGCTTGTATGTTGCCAGCGGATCCTGTGCGCTCGTCTTTGGTAGGCAAAAAAAAAAAAAAAACACTCCTTACATTTGAGCAGCGAGCTGAGAAAATTGACAAGTTCATCAGAATCGTTTGTTTAACTTCCAGTACAAACGCGCACACATAAAAAGGGTCATCTCTCTCTCTCTCTCTCTCTCTCTCTCTCTCTCTCTCTCTCTCTCTCTCTCTCTCTCTCCCTCCCTCCCTCTCCCTCTCTCTCCGTCGAATCCAAAACGCACATTCCTACGGCATCACTGTGAAGGCAATTTTGGTGGTGGCCCTGACTTCTCCATCGCGGTGAAATGTTGCATGTCCCTATCGGCATCCTCCCAGAAACTGGGGGGGAGATTGAAGACCTCGATTGTCATCTGCAGGCTGACAATCTCTCTCCCCATGTCCGTCAAACGCAAGGTCATGTCCACCCAAGAGGGGCACATTGACGTATGCACATTCCCTGTAGATGTGGGATCATGTGGGAACATCAGGCCGTTTGCCTTTATCTGTTGTCAATGACAGGCCTCCGAATTGCGAACTCAATAAACGGCCACCATTGTCAGCATCTCGTCCCCCATGCACGACGTCATCACAGAATTTCCAAGCCGTGTCCACCTACTGCTGAGCCACCAACAGCTGTGTTTCAGCAGCTTCACACCTCCTACTCGCTTCATCCCTTTCAGCCAGCGCCTCCTCCAAGGCTGGCTCCGTGTCAGCTGTGGTGACACAGCTGTCCTCCCACATTCTCCTCCATCTATTAATGTCGTGTCGAAGTCACCCGTTTTCAATAGCAAGGTCATCACAGCATTGCCGACAGGTGTCACGTGAAGCTTGCAACCTTCTCTAGACACCCACAGCCCACCGTCGCGTGTGAGTGTTCTCCTGTGTGAACTCACTTTGACATCGCATGCACACTTCGATTGTGTTACCCCTCTCCACCAAATAATCGTGCGGCGTTTAACCTTTCTCTCCATCCTCTCAGTGTCCTCAATCACCGCACGCCTCTCTGTAACATAATCCCTACGCCCACCAACCCCTGTCGGTAGATGTCGAAGCAGCCAACGACTGCTTAGTTAGTCTCACCCGACCGCCGACGGATTCGTACCCCTGAAGTATGCGATGTGCTCTTTCGAGTCCATCGATTTAGGCTACTTCCCGTCTGCTGATTGTGTACACAACCAGACCAGCACTGCGCTGCGCTGCGTGCCTAGTGCTAGGCTGTTGCTGTAAATAAAGGTACTACGAGCCCTCTGCCCCATTCGAATAGAGATTTGATTGGTTCACCATCACAGCATTGTCGGAAGGTGTCACGCGAAGCTCACAACCTTCTCTTGACACCCACAGCCCACTGTCGCGTGTGAGTGTTCTCATGTGTGAACTCACTTTGACATACCTCTCTTCCGCATCACCCCTCTCCACCAAATAATTGTGCGGCATTTAACCTCTCTCTCCATCCTCTCGACGTCCTCAATCACCGCACGCCTCTCTGTAACATAATCCCTACGCCCGCCAACCCCTGTCGTGTCTGCACCGAAGAGGTGAAGAGAAAAAGTGAAGATTTTTTCAGGTCCAGCACATGAAATGGCACCACACACATACACACACACACACAAGCAACTTATAGCGGACGACAAAACTGTGAACCCTCAAAACAGGCCCCACGAAACAGTTCCCAGACTGCCACACGGTCTTGGAACAACACAAAGATCATCATCGACCATCCCTGCGTGTGTGGTACAAACGGATCACCTCGCCACACAGGGCATCCGTCATAGCTTGGCGGCGCTGTCAACCAAACATGAATTGCGGCGGACAACCGTCCCCTTCTTCGCCATCCCTGGCTGACGGAACTGGTGGC